CACCTCTTTCCCTTTGTTCTTTGTGTTTCACATGAGCAGATTCTCCATCATGGCTGGACATATCATCCATAGCCATGGAAAGATGGTAGCAAACACCAAAATACTCAATCGAGACCGCGACTTGTCCAGGATTGGTGGAATTACCCTTCATACCCCCTGCCTGATTTCCTTGTTTTATGAATGTCTGTTCTCCAAACTTGTGAGTGACAACATGGTATCAACAAGTAGATCCTTCTTGGCATCATGTGGTAGATGCTGCATGTCACGCAGGTGCCAGCTGATGTATCTTGCACAGTGATTATGTCCCGCAGCAAAAATATGGTAACATTGTCTCCGGACAGTACTGCTGTAGAAGCCAGTCACCCTCTTGCTCAGCCCCCAGAAAATGGAGCGCAAGCATGGTTGGAGAGATGAACTATTCAACCCCGAGTTTCTAGTGCATTCGCCCATGGTATGCGATGCATTCATTATATCATTTGGTGTATTCATCATGTTATCTAGTGCATTTGCCAGGTTTTGTAGTGTATTCACCATGTTATGCAGTGTATTCACCATGTTATGTAGTTCATTTACCTAGTTATGTAGTGTATCCACCAAGTTATGTAGTCCATTCACCAAGTTATGCAGTGTATTCACAAGTCATGTAGTGCATTCACCATGTTATGTAGTCCATTTACCTAGTTATGTAGTGTATTCACCAAGTTATGTTGTCCATTCACCAAGTTATATGTTGCATTCACCAATTTATGTAGTGTATTCACCAAGTTATGTAGTCCATTCACCAAGTTATGTAGTGTATTCACCAAGTTATGTAGTCCATTCACCAAGTTATGTAGTGTATTCACCAAGTTATGTAGTCCATTCACCAAGCTATGTAGTGTATTCATCAAGTTATGTAGTCCATTCACCGAGTTATGTAGTGTATTCACCAAGTTATGTAGTCCATTCACTAAGTTATGTAGTGTATTCACCAAGTTATGTAGTCCATTCACCAAGTTATGTAGTGTATTCACCAAGTTATGTAGTCCATTCACCG